TCACTTCACACCCAGAAGTCTGAGGACTGTGTTTCAACTAAGCCTCGTGGCTCTCCTCTGCTCAACACAGCTTCATCCGTTGGCCCATCCTATCCACTTTGAGAGCTGGAGGCTGGAAATAGTGGGTGATTGTCAGCCCTCTTCTCCTTCTAGGGCCACCTCTAGTTCCCACCTCTCACCCCTAATCAGGCGGGAGGGGGAGGGGGGATGTAGGGAGGAAGCGCAAAGCAGACTGGGAAAGCAATTAAAAAGCAGATCTCAGGGTTGGAGACTGGGAGATAAAGGATAAAGGACAAGCTGAAGTGGGTCTGGTCAGACCCGGGAGAGGCGAGGGAGAAAGGGCCGAGCTTATTAACCTTGCCACAGCAGCCTGGCCCCAGGACCTCTGAAAACGAATAAGCTGCCCACTCCAACCATAGGAAGAGATGGGGCCTAAGGAGGAGGAAGAAGGGATTCTGGGGTCCGGTCCGGAGTCATTCTGCAGCCACAGGCGCTGATTTCTGGCCAGCAGAACATGGCTGGGTGTAGGCTAAAGGTGGGAGAATGAATGGCTCCTGTCCTGAGGCAGTCCTCTCCAACTGAAGCCCCTGCCTGCAGAAACTTCCATTGGTAAGAAGCTAGCCCTATGCTGTGGCACCTTAATCTGGGACATGTAGACCCTGGTCTGAGGGGGAAGACAGATTCTAGCATCGGGAAATCTCTGCCTGCAGGGGAAGACACAGCTCATCTCCCCGGGAGGACTCAGGCAGAGGTGCACAGGGAACCCATGGGGATCCAGGCGTGAAAGGTATCAGTAGGAGTCATGATCCTCAAGCCTAGGGATGGAGGAAGGCAAGTGAGACCAGAGCCCACTAAGGGATAAGGGAGACAAGAATGTGGCTTAGGGGGCAACATCTACTTCCGTCATCAGTTTCAAAAAAATGCATGTTGGACTGAACTGTGGGTGTAGCCAAAGTGCTTGCCTAACATCCATGATGTCCTAGGTTTGAACATCAAAGAAACCAGGCGTGGTGGTGCATGCATGTAATCCCAGCACTCAGGAGGTGGAGGCAGGAAGATCAGAAGTTCAAGGTCATCTTTGGCTACATACCTAGCAAGTTTGAGGCCAGCCTGAGATATAATGAAACTGTCTCACAAAACAGTAACAAAAACAAAGAAACAACTAAAACCTAATTACAACTTGTAGGACCTGAAGCCACCAACAGCTAGAAGTCCAGGAGAAAATGACATTGACCCCCCACTCTCTCTACTCACTGCCGTTCCTTGGTCCTATCTGCATGGCCTTGGGACCTCCCTTCAAAGGTTCTCACATACTCCCAGTAGACGCCATAGGACTTGGCAGCCCTTTCTCAGGTTCCTGCCTCTGCTGGCCAAGCCATCACAGAAGCCCTGGCACGCGGTGAGTGGAGCACCTGGGAGACAGGACATGGATGCTATGTTTGTCGACAGTGCCTACTGCGGCTGTCTCTCACCAACTTCATTCTCAAACCGTTCTTAGAAGGTGAGTCCTCATCTCACAGATCTGGAGATGGAGCTTCAGTGATGGTTCCTGGGTCATCCCAGGCCCTGAGAAGCTGTGTTGCTTTCTTCTCAAGAGGGCACCATCACGGCAATTTCTAAAAGAAAAGAAAACAAAACAAACAGAATGCAAACAAAGGTGGACTCTAGAGAAACCACCAACCTCTAGGAAACCCTAGTTCCTTCCACCTTTTTGGACCTGGGCAGCTGAGCTCTGCCATCTAGTGGCCCTGGGGCTCAATTTCCTTCTTTCCGGGAGCACCATGGGGTCGGGTCAGCCAGTCTTGCACCCGGCAGGAGCTGGTGACACTCGGGTGGCAAGGCCACTTGGAATAGAGACTGGCATCAGTGGGAAACACCAGGCACTGTGTAGATGGGTTGAGACCAGAAGTGGCATTGTCCCGGAAAGGCACTGAGGCCTTGCCCTGGAAGCAAAAGATCTTTCAGATTTTAATACAGGCAGAGGGACAGGAGGAAGCCGTCCTTCCCCGCTTTGGCTTGAAGCAGGGCTCAGTTTGACTGTGGACTCTGTAGTGAGGTATCCTAGCATCTGTCTCCATGGTTGGCAGCACCCTGCTGCGGAGTCTAAAAGTCGGCTGGAGTTTGGCCTGAGGCTTTTGTTGTTGGAGACTTCTGCTTGGGAAAGTTGAAAAAGGAATAAGCCTTTTCAGGATGAGGCATGAGCAAGGCTAGGAGGATAGGAATCCCTGCAGCAACTGGGAGGGCAGAGGGCCTGCCTGTTTTCCTACCAAGTGCCTGTCTGGGGCAGAGATGCATGAATGTGGTAAGAAGTGGGCTGGGAACTTGGCTAGAGAGCTGCCCAGCGACAGGGCTTAGTCACGTGGAGGCATAAAGTGGAAACGATGCAGCTGTGAAGTGATGACGCAGGTAAAAGATGACAGATTCGGAAAGATGCTCACAACATATTGTTGAAGGAAAAGCAAATTGTAAAATAATTGGTGCAGTATGGGCCTGTTTTGAAAAAAAAATGTATTATATGTGTAGAAAAGTCTGGCAGTGTTTGCTACATGTGGCAAAATCATGGCTAATTAAATATTTATATTGCTTATGTGTACTTTCTGATTTCTCTACAGTGGATGTACAAAAAAAAACACTAATAAAGTTTGTACATCAAGTGCAACCAAGAATGTCTTTCTTTTGTCTCTATACACAAATACCCCTTGAGAGAGTGTAGCAAGGATCTGAAGGCCCAGTGCGGTTAGAATGGAACTTGGGCCTGCATCAGGGGTCTAGGGAGGGGGCTGAGGGACAGAGGCTGGGGGAATCTTTGGCTGCACTGAAACAAACACGGTGGACAGGAGGAATTCTCCGGTTGTGTTGACACACCTCTCCTGCCCTTGATCTTTTCCTTCCAGAACCACTTGGCTTACACCTAGAAAGGTAGGCCACTCCCACCCTGTGAGGTGTGTCCTAAGTTAAAGGTTGCCCTCTAGTAAGGCTCTTCCTTTAAGTTCCCTGTTCTTTAATGTCCCAACTTATAAGAGGAGCAATAAGTCACTGGGGCAGGAAGTGGTCACACAAGCCTTTAATCCCAAAGGGGCAGTTGGATTGCTGTGAGTTCCAGACCAGCTTGATCCAAATAGTGAGTTCCAGGGGACACGATGAGTTCCAGGCTAAAGGTCGCTGGAAACTTCTCTACCTTACTGTGCCATTGTCCCTGACAGGGGTGGGGGGAGGTTTGGCTAGATCCTGAGAGGCTCCTTCCTTCCCATGCTGGGATTTGCTAGGTGAACCTCAGCGCCCATTGCATGCTCAAATAAATGCCATGTCCCTGATTCAGAATAAGGGATGTTGCTATACCAGGAGTTAAGGGGTCTGAACTGGCTCGAGCAATGGGAGGGGCAAGCAATCAGGCATTGTGTGTAAGCTGGAGACCTGGCAGTGCTGAGCTGGCCAACCCCCTGCCCCAGGACCTCCTCCTTGTGCCCACTGAATGACTCACCTTGGCATAGACACAATGGTCAAGGGTGGGCACACAGCCTGCTTCCCGCTGGACTCCAGACCCCCTTCGAAGCTTTCCGAGAAATCCATTGAGCTGGGAGCTTGTACAGCACCCGGGGCTGACATCCTGGCATCTTGGGATAAAAGCAGCCCAGCCCCTGTGGGGCTGCCCTCGCCGTATGGCTCCCTCACTGGCGGCAGAGAACAAGGCTCTATTCAGCAAGTGCCCTGGAGTAGAGATCAGAAGCTCAGGCATGGACAGAGGAAGGCAGGGGTGGGGGGAGCTGAGCTGTCTGTTTTCCAGAAGCCCAAGGGCACAGATGGCTAAGGCGCATGGGAGGGACCACAGTGGAGAGGATAGACAGACCTGAAGTCTCGTGGCAACAGCCTCATCCCCACCATTGATGATGGTGAATTCTGATTTCCCAGACCTACATATCCCCCAGAGGCCTGAAGTGTGGAAACTTGAAGGAGATAAATCTCCTGGGAGAATGAGGGGTGGGCCAGGGAGACAGGGTGTTACAGAAATAAAGGACCTAGCATGTACAGCCAACTCATTCAGGGCTGCTCTGTGGAGCTATCAGGGGCCAGGCTCCGGGAGGAGCAAAGGGAAGCTGGACCAGGAAGCCAAAGAGGGGCTCAGGGGCTTGCTGTCTTGCCCTATTAGGATCCTCATGCATTCCTTCTGTCATGCCCCCTTGACACACAACCAGAGGCCCAAGGTGACCCTGAAGTCATAGGGAGGGCCCCAAGCCCAGCCCTTTACTCCTGAACACCAGGAATGAGAAGACATGATGATGGCAGGTTCTAGGGAGAGGACTCTGGACATCTGTTGGGAATGGGAGTCAGCAGGAAACTATAGTATTATAGGCTGGTCCTGGAGGTAGGGCATAGGTTCTTCAAGTTCCTAGCATCTCACAGGCCCATGGAGAAGTGCGGAGCGAGGGTAGCCCTGGCTTATAGGCTCGAAGAGCTGAAGGCAGCTCACCATCCCAGCTTGTTTGTTCTCTCTCTCTCTCTCTCTCTCTCTCTCTGTGTGTGTGTGTGTGCACCCACACACAAGTGTTCGTTCACTGCATAGATGTTCATATGTGTACATATATGTGCTGAGACCTGGTGTCAACCTGAGGTATTTTTTTGAGACAGCATTTCTCCCTGGGACTTGGAATTCACCAATTAGTCAGAGAGACCCAAGGATCCTCCTGATTTTCCTTTCCGGGCACTGGAGTTACAAGTATGCATTGTCAAACCTGGCCTTTTGTGCTTGTTTTGTGGCTAGAACTTGGAACTTCATGCCTGACAGCAAACAATTTATGGACTAAGCTGTTTCCTCAGCTACTCTAGCCCTCTCTTGACCCCTCTTACCAGAAAGGGGGTTTTCTTCATCTCTGGTGAAGCCAAGCTGGTATGCCCACGGAAGCCTTGAATCTGATACAAAGACCTCAGTGGGGTGAGAGGAGCTCTCCCCATAGCTGGGCTAGGGCCCAGCTCCACCCCCTCGGGCTATTCAGTGGGGTGCTGCCGGGAAGTCAGGGCAGAGCCAGTCCAGCCCATTCCTCCATAAAGCCCTGACATCCCAGGAGCCAGCAGATGCAGGGAAGGATGGAGCGAAGACGCATCACCTCTGCACGTCGCTCTTATGCCTCCACCGAGACGGTGGTCAGGGGCCTGGGTCCCAGCCGCCAGCTGGGTACCATCCCGCGCTTCTCTCTGGCTCGAATGTCTCCTCCACTCCCTGCCAGGGTGGACTTCTCCCTGGCAGGTGCTCTCAATGCTGGCTTTAAGGAGACTCGGGCCAGTGAGCGCGCGGAGATGATGGAGCTCAATGACCGCTTTGCTAGCTACATCGAGAAAGTCCGCTTCCTGGAACAGCAAAACAAAGCGCTGGCAGCTGAGCTGAACCAGCTTCGCGCCAAGGAGCCCACCAAACTGGCCGACGTCTACCAGGCAGAGCTGCGGGAGCTGCGGCTGCGGCTGGACCAGCTTACTGCCAACAGTACCCGGTTGGAGGTGGAGAGGGACAATTTGGCACAGGACCTCAGCACCCTGAGGCAGAAGTGAGGAGGGGGACAGGGGAAACGGCTAGTGAGCAGTGGGACTGACCCGAGAAAGGTGCTGTAAGGAAGGGTACTGATTCTGTCAAGCGCTGGGCCTCTCAGCTGCTGTATGTATTTCCCCATGCCTAGGAAAGGGAGAGCTATCTTTGCTCCCTAATATGATGGAACTAGCCAGGACAAGACCAAACCTTCAGGGATCTGATTCCCAAAGGTCTGCTGCCAGGGAGCTGGGCACTCTGGGGCACCTCCACACTGAGGAAGGCTGTGTGGGTAGCGATGGCACCAGCCACCAGCCCGTGGGTGCTCTGCCCTTGCATTCATTTGTCACTGGGAATGGTCAGAGTGGAGGTCTGTGCCCACAAGGAGGCTCTGGTCTCTGAAATATAGGAAATGCAAGAAAGAGCAGGCTGGCCTGGGTGCAGAACCCAGACGACGGTCTGTCACCAGCTTTTGACCACACTCAAGTCATTTTGATCGTCATAGCTGTGAAGTAGAGGTCATGCTACGATCGGTCCTAAAAGATAGTGACCAGGGGTCGAACTATGGGGCGTGGTGATTTGCATGGTGGACATTCGTGGGCCCCTCTGGTGCAGGAGGTGCACTGGTGTCTGCACAGAGAGCACAAGGTGGTGGGCGCGTCTGTGGGAGCCTGAACAGCTGCACCGACTCTGATAAGGCGCCTCAGTAATGAGTCAAAGCAGAAGCCCTTATCTGCTGCTCACTCTCTCAGCCAGGGCCTCTGAACCCTCTGACGCTTACTTCTCCTGCCACTCTATGGGTCCTGTGAGAGTGTTTTATGACGGTCACCTCCAGAGAGCTTGGGACATGGATCCAAGAGTCCTCAGGAAACCCTAAATCTGTGTCCCCTATCCCAGGCTCCAAGATGAAACCAACCTGAGGCTGGAGGCTGAGAATAACCTGACTGCCTATAGACAGGTCAGTGAGATGGGAGGGATGGGCAGCGAGGGGGGAGAGGTCGGACAGACAGACAACAGGGAGGTTAATGGCAGCCCACCCAGACACAGTCCCTGAACTTAACCTCCACAGCAATTGCCTGCTTCCCAGAGCCCCACAAGGACAGGGAAGACAAAACTGGAGGTTGTCATGGGGCAGGCTCTGGGGTCAAAAAGTCCTCTTCCCATCCCAGGAGGCAGATGAAGCTACCATGGCCCGTCTGGATCTGGAGAGGAAGATTGAGTCGCTGGAGGAGGAGATCCAGTTCTTGAGGAAGATCCATGAGGAGGTGAGGCCAGGTGCAAGGAGGGAGGCCCAACAGGTAGCTGTAAGTAAGAGAAAGAGAGAGAAATATTCAGAGAAACAGAGACACCAACTGTCAGGAAGAAGAACATGGAAGAGAAAGAGTGAAGACAGAGAGGCTAAGGGAGATGCTTTCCAGTATCTACTACCCCTGGAAAATGCACACATCCTACCCACACCACCATGCTCTAAGAAGCACAAGGCCAGGTCTTTGGTTTCTCCCCATCAGCTCTGTGAACCCTTCTTATGGTTCCCTTTCACAACAAGGAGGGCATTGAAACCCGGAGAAGTTTTTTTTTTAAAAAAAAAAAAAACACCCCAAAGTCACACAGCCTCTCTGGTTTCACCCTCTCCCCCACCTGTCTCCAGTAAGATGGGACCCACAGGAAAACCCCACTGAGGACATGGTGACACACATCTCAGAACCTGGGAGGTAGAGGTGGGAGGCTCAAAGTGTTTAAGGCCAGTTTCAGCAATACAGAAAAGTTGAGACCAACCTGGTCTACATGAGACCCTGTCTCAAACACACACACACACACACACACACACACACACACACACACACACACCTGTTCTCTGACCTCAGGGTCTGGACGCAAGACATATTCAATATTCATGCCTGGTTCCTGGCTCTGCGGCTCTGGGAGGAAGACACCCTCAGACTTCCGTGTCATAAACATTAGGGTTCTTATTTTTTTTAATATTTATTTATTTATTTTGTATACAATAGTCTGTCTGTGTGTATGCCTCAGTCCAGAAAGGGGCACCAGACCCCATTACAGATGGTTGTGAGCCACCATGTGGTTGCTGGGAATTAAACTCAGGACCTTTGGAAGAGCAGGCAGTGCTCTTAACCGCTGAGCCATCTCTCCAGCCCCAACATTAGGGTTCTTATTTTTACTTTTTGATAGGGTCTCACTGTGTACCCTTGACTGATCTAGAACATGCTATGTAGACAAGTCTGCCTCAAAAATCATAGAGATCTGCCTACTTCAGCCTCCCACATGCTGGGGTTAAACATGTGTGTCAGCAAGCCTGGCGTATATCTGTTAGGTTAGGTCATATGCTTCTTCCAGTAAAGACTGCCCCGTTTCCCTGAGCCGAGGCCATATCTGGGCAGGCAGAAGTGTGATGCTAGGAGAGCCCCAGCTGTAGCCTGGACCTAAGATTAGAGCCTCCATACCCCCTCTTCTACCCTACTAGGAAGTTCGAGAACTCCGGGAGCAGCTGGCCCAACAGCAGGTCCATGTGGAGATGGATGTGGCCAAGCCAGACCTCACAGCAGCCCTGAGAGAGATTCGAACTCAGTACGAGGCAGTGGCCACCAGTAACATGCAAGAGGCCGAGGAGTGGTATCGGTCCAAGGTACCTGTGGGCCAACCTGCCTCTTCCAGGCAGCCCTTCCTGATCCATACTGGAGAATAAGGAAAGGAATCTTAGGAAAGCACCCATATAGGTGACCAGCCTTTCTGAGAGAAGCGAGATGACTTGCTCAGGACCACACAGGCACCACTACTTCCCAAACTACTAATTGCTATTGCGACAACTGCTTTTAACCAGCAGGGTTAAAAGGTTAACTAGTTTGCACAATGTCACACAGCTCCTGAGTGATATAGGGATAAAGTTGCCCATTCTAACCCATCTCATTTGAAACGCCGCCTTTTTGGCACCTCTGCCAGTCTGTGTCCTGTGCTCCTGAACATCTACTACTGTGTGCTGGGTACTCCCGAGATGCAGAAACATTTGGTCAAGGTGCTGTCAGAGTTCATACAGACTGTGGGAAACAGGGAAGGTGAGGGGCTGGGTCTTGTGCTAGGCAGGCAGCCTAGAGACTCAAGAGAAGAGGGAAGGGCATCTCATGTAGAGAACAAGCTTTGGCGGGAGGCCTGAGATACAAAAAGCAGACTGGAGATGCTGCTGACCCAGGGCACCAAGCCCAGTGTGAACTGCCTAAGCCAGTGACAGCCTGAGCAGGATGAAGGCCTGATAAATCCTTCAGTTAAAGACGCTCCCGGGGTGGGGCCGGGGCGGGGCGACTACTGAGGTCGACCCCACTTTTCTGATATTCCAGAGACCATGTCTATCCCCCATCCCAGGCAGTTCCCTGGTCTGTGCACTGTGCCATTGGGAGGCTCCAGTCCTCCCTTCAACTTCAGGTCCTCTCTCGGTTTAGTTTGCGGATCTCACAGACGCAGCTTCCCGCAACGCAGAGTTGCTCCGCCAGGCTAAGCACGAGGCTAATGACTATCGTCGCCAACTGCAGGCCTTGACCTGCGACCTGGAGTCTTTGCGCGGCACGGTGAGCATTGGCAGGCACTGCTGGTCGGATGGGGGCCGCGCCACCCAAGATGTTGCTGGAAGGGGACCGGGGTCGGGAGTTGGGGGGGGGGGGGGGATGATATCTGAAAAGTTGGAAGCGGCAATAGGGGGCCAGGGCAGAGCCTCGAAGCCTCTTGGAATCGCCAGGCTCTTCGATCAGTGGGCTCTATCCGACAGAATGAGTCCCTGGAGAGGCAAATGCGTGAACAAGAGGAGCGCCACGCACGAGAGTCGATGAGTTACCAGGAGGCGCTCTCCCGGCTGGAGGAGGAGGGTCAAAGCCTCAAGGAGGAGATGGCCCGCCACCTACAGGAGTACCAGGATCTACTAAACGTCAAGCTAGCCCTGGACATCGAGATTGCCACCTATAGGAAATTGTTGGAGGGCGAGGAAAACCGGTGAGCTCATCACCGCCCTAGGGTGGTGTCTCTCGGGAGTTGCAGTTCCTCTTGTTCCCTACAGTACTCCAACCTTGTGTCCCCTCCCACCCCCAGAGTCCAGCCTAACGCACAATAGCTATTCAAGAAATGTCTGAAGAATAGATACCTATTCAACTAATATTAAGTACCAGGGCTGAGGACTTGAGTTATTCCCCAAACTAAGCAGCTGACCCCCAAGACTGGCCACAAATATGGCACTTCCCAAGGCCTGATGGGTTTGTTCTGCATCCTTGGAGCTATTGTGACCATTTTTTGTTGTTGTTGTTGTTGTTGTTCCTCCCATTTCCCAAGCCTCCATTCTCCTTCCTGGAGGTATTCTACGGGCAGACAACACACAAGCTCCCTGCAGACTTTTTCAGCTCCGGGAGAGTATTGGCTTCTGGGTTGAAAGTTAGGTGGTGGAGGCTGGAGAGGTTACTCTGTAGTCAGGGGTCAGGTTCCCGGCAGCTGTTTGATTTCTTGCAATGTCCTGTGGTAACACTCTGGTTCCAGGAGATCCAACACCCACTTCTGCACGCGTGTATGTATAGGCATGGTAGCTCATGGCCTTCATCCCAGTACTTGAGAGGAAGAGGCAGGCAGATCTCTGTGAGTTTGAGGCCAGTCTGGTCTATATATTGAATTCTAGGCCAACCAAAGCTGTATATAGAGAACTCTTGTCAGAAAGAGCTGGGGGCAGAGAGGAGAGAGGAGAGGCAGGAATGGAAGAAGGGAGGGAGGAGAGAGTTAGGGGATGTCGGGAATGGAGTCAGACTGGCCTGGCAAAGGACTTTGAGAGTTTCATGCTGTCCCTGGACCAGGACCTGGGATGTCTCAGGGTGACCTCATCATCCCTATTCCTCCTCTGTTTTTCAGCATCACTATCCCTGTACAAACTTTCTCCAACCTGCAGATCCGAGGTCAGTATAGTGGGGCCTTGTGGGAAAGGGTATTGAATTCCCACCTCCTCCCCCCAGGCCTGTGGACTGCTCTTGGGAACTGGCAAAGGGATCCAGGTTCTCCTTGGGAGCCCTTATGACCCTTCACTGAGATCCTAGACAGTGCACAGAATCCTAGGGCTCATAGCTGTTCCTGTCTCACTCTGCCCTGGGCCCCCATCCCCTAGCTGTGCCCCTGCAGGACCGGTGAGGTCCCCACTGATGCCAGGTCTGCTGGCCTTGGACAAGCTCTGCCCTTCTGAATGTTTTCTATTTTGTTTTGTTTTGAACTGCTTGTCACTACAGGGGGCAAAAGCGCCAAAGAAGGGGAAGGCCTCAAAGTCACAAGACATCTCAAAAGGCTCACAATACAAGTTATACCAATATAGGCTCACCAGATTGTAAACGGAGCCCCGCCAGCTCTTGGTTAGATAGATACCTGCTTTTCAGTTGTGCGCTTTCCCCAGCTTGACAGGGAGTAAGCCTTCCCAAGCCTATTTCCCAGCCCTCTTGGCCTCTTCCTCCCAGGCCTCCTCTAAAGGACTGGGACCTTTTCCCAGAAGCTTCAGTCCCTAGTCCAGGCCCTGGTTCTGTGTAATTAGGTTATACCGACAGAGCTAGCCCATGATACAGGGGGCTTATCCCCGGGAGCTAAATGAGAGGCTCTGAAGCCTCTGAGCAAATGCCAGCCTCTGCCTTGCCTCTTTTCTGTCGCTAGGTGGTCCCCTTGGGTCTTGCAGTGCCTCTGGGCAGGCTCTGTGTTTGATTCATGTGTCCCCAAGGTTCTGTTGCTTCACTCGGCGCTGATTCAGCCCAGAGGACTAGTTCCCTCTAGACTGCTGCTCTTGTAGTGAATAAAGTTTTATGTTCCCAGCTCTTCATTTTAAATATTAGTGAGTGTGACATGTTACATTTTTTTCTCTCTAAGGGGGGCTGACCAAATTGCTTTTTACTGGTATGTGGCCCTTAAATGATTCTTGGTTACAGGGGAAAACTCCATCTGGGAATATTGGCCACACATATTTCAGGATGTGGTTCAGCATTAGAAAGTTAATTACGCTGACCGGGTAGAGGTAGGAGTGCCAAATGTTAGGCAGTCAAAGGTCACTAGAGTCCAGACAAGTGACAGAAAAAGGTAGGAATGAGGAAGGGTCCCACACGCATTAATCGCTCATTTGTGCCACACATTAACACGCATTAGTTGCCGCCCCCCCATTTTCTACGAGAGTAGGCACCGTGAACCCTTTTGTGTAATGGAGGAAACTGAGATTTCTTTCTTGGCGCAGCCCTTGGTTGTCAGGAAGCCAGGTACCAGAACAGAAGGCCAAGTGGGCTACAGGACGGCAGCGGGACATGCCCGCACTGGGGGGCAGCAGCAGGACGTGCCCGCACTGGGGGGCAGCAGCGGGACGTGCCCGCACTGGGGGGCAGCAGCGGGACGTGCCCGCACTGGGGGGCAGCAGCGGGACGTGCCCGCACTGGGAGGCAGCTGAGAGACTCCAGTCACTTTGGATAAGTCAAGGCTCTCCCTGCCCAGTTAGATAGCCCTGTAGTCATCACCCTGGGTGCATGATGGGGAAGTTGGGCACAGGACAGGATGCTTAGTATCCCAAGAGCCCACGGAGGCTTCCTCTCCTCACACCTGCAGAAACCAGCTTGGACACCAAGTCCGTATCGGAAGGACACCTCAAGAGAAACATCGTGGTAAAGACAGTGGAGATGCGTGATGGTGAGGTGAGGAAAGATTCTGGTTGGCCCCAGGAGTTCTTGAAGCTAGACTAGAGAAAGAAAGCTTGGGACTAGCTCACGGAAGGTCCTTAACCAAGTACTGGGGACTCCAGTGGAGCTCTGGAAGAAGGGACTGACCTTGAATGTAATTCTCCTTTCCCAGCCCTTCCCCAGGTGGTGTGTAAAGGACAACCTGTGTACCAAGGCTACCTGAGGGTCCAGCTCTGACTGGGACAGTTAGGGAAAGAAAAGGCCTTCAAATTTTACTCAAAGGAATTTTCCCAAGAGGAATGGGAACAGGAGATAGGTACAGCATGCATGGGGTGGCGGCGGCAGCAATAACTACTCTTGTGCCATAGTGTCAGGCATGGCATTCAAGGCTTTGTAAGTGGCATTTCACACCCCAACTCGACTTCAGCATGATGTAATTACAATGACAGTCAGGGAAGACAGATCCAGGACAGTTGGGAACTTGCGTCGGGATGCACAGCCTAGCACATGGATCCAGAAGCTGTGTCAGTCCCTAACTGGACACTGTGCACCTTCCCTGTCCCCTGCAGGTCATTAAGGAGTCCAAGCAGGAACACAAGGATGTGGTGTGAGGTGTGCCCACCTGCTCCTGCCACACAGCGTGAAGGGTCCAAGCTCCTCCTCAGATAGTCCTCATCCGAGTTGGCATTCCCCTTCCCTTTGTTTTCATGCCTGTCTGCTGCCCAAGGCTCAGTCCTTACTCAGCCTGACAGATGGCACATACCCTGCGCCTCCAACTAACAGGCTACTCACCCTAAAGGGGCAGTCAGGAGGGGAGGGGCCGGCAGCTGGGTTAGAATTGGAAGGAAAGAGGAAAGTTGGGCAGAGCAGGGAGTCTTAACGAATCATTTCCTTCATCCTTGTTGTTATGGAAACTGTTGCTAGAGCTGGAAGGCTCTGGGAACTGGACTTTTTTTTTCACAGGCTGCTGGAGGGAGACAGAAAGTCAGACAGAAAGGGGAGGTCCCAAGGCAAAGTAGCTCTAGTCAGAGACTTATGCTTCTGGAAAGGCCCTGACTGATCGAGGGGTGGGTAGGGCAGATCTGCTACCTGGAATGGCCACTAAGGCAGTCCTAAGGGTCCTCCAGAGTGGTGACTCACGTCTCAGTCCCACTGAGTTGCCACGTAGCTCAGCAGCCTGTGAGCATATGGAGACTTGGTTCTCAGTGCTGGCGGGGGGTCTATAGCATAAGTGAAGAGGGAAGTAGTACTGGGAGGGAGTATAGCAGGGTACCTGGCACCTAAGTGTGGGTGCAGTGAGCTCAAGCCCTGGAAGGCTCCCCTACTCCGGCTGGAGGAATGCCGCAGCGGAGATGATTCGGACATTGGAGTGGGAAGTTGTAGGCCACCAATTATGCTTGGCTCTGAATCCTGGGAATCAGGGAAATAGCTCCTTCTCCTGGACACCGAGACAGGAGAGAGGGACTTCTGTCTGTTGGGCAGGGTGCAGCTGTGCCTCAGTAGTGAAGGTCTGTTCCTGGCTGCGTAGTCCCTATCCACTCAGTTCTCTGCCCCGTGACTGCTGCTTCTCAACCCTGATGAAACCACAACCACCCTTTTGAGGTCCTCCATCCCATAATTACTAGCTGTTGTTCTCCAAGGCAGGGGCCTATGTCCTTTCTTATGGGTATACGTAATACTACCTATATTTTAGCATCATCCTATTTGACAATTTGAGAAACTGAGGCATGAGCCTAGTGGACTGGCTCATATACAAGCCGCCTGGAGACAAGTGACATCAGACTGCCCTTCCACACCAGAGCACCCTCTCCCGGGCTGGCTGGTGGGCAGGTGATGGGGAACTGTGCCCAGAAATGGGGCTGGAAGTGTCCGCTCCACTGCCCTTTCCTCCCCTCTAAGGTCGAAAAATAGAGTGGGCCCCTTCCTCCTGCCAGGACATTGTACCCTCTCCTCCCACTCCCTGCCACTTCTACTAACCTGCAGAACAGCGCCGTCACCTTTGCTCACAAGAAGAAATAAAGACACGTGTCACAGCCTTGCACAGAGTGGGTCTGATTTGTTCAGAAGGTGGGGTGAAGACCAAGACAGGACTCAATCAACTTGCTCATCACCACAGACTGCACTGAGATCCTGAACTTCTATTGCGGCCGCCCCAATAGGAGGTCAGATCCACCTCCTACAGAGCCCTGGTGCCATGGCCTTGGCCCCAGACCCTCTTCTCATGCCCAATCCCTAGCCTGGGTGCCATCATTCCAGAAAGTCCTGTGTTGGAGCTCCACTTTCTCCACCCATTCCTGGTCCCCGACTTTGCCTTCATCTTCTTCATGCCTGCTGCTCTGCTCTTCCCAGAACAACTGGAAGCAGAACAGATATAGGCGCTCCCTCCACTTTTCTTTCTTCTTCTTCTCCATCCCACCCCATCCAGTTCAATCAGAGCCCAGCCGTAGTCCTTAAGGGCAAACCACTTCCAATGTCAACGACACTGATGGGTGACCTGCTGGGTGTCGGTTCACTTCCTCCTGCAACCTGAGTGTGATGTGAGAAGACACATGCACCTGTCCACTTCCCTCCTGACCCCACTCTCTGACCTCTGACCTCCCTCAGGCTTCTCCACTTTCCAGATTAGACTCAGGCCCCTCCCATGAAACTGGGGAGTAAGTTGTAAATAATAGACTTGTATGTACATCACCTTGTCACGTGTCCCAGCCCAAGGTGCCTATCCAGAGGCATCTGGTATCATTTAACAAACATATTAAAACACAACTGGTTTTCACAGCTGGAGAAGGGGATGGGCTGAGAAGTTGGGACAATGGCGAAATGAGTAGCAACAGCAACGACAGACGTGAATGGTGACAAAGACGGCCGTGATGAGCAGGTAGGCTACCAGGGTGAGTTCCACAGCAGTGCGAGTCTCAGGGTCTGAGAGCGAGGCTGGGTAGCGTCCTCGAGATGTTACTCCCAACCGGAAGCCAGCGATCCTCAACCCTTGCCGCCAACAGTAATAGATGCCCCGGTCACTCAGCTGGGTGAAGCGGATGTGGAGATGGTTGCCATGGTCGATGAACACTCTCATGGATCTGTTGACACCTTTTAGGTACTGTGTGCGGTAGAGGGGCTGATGGTCTTTGTCCCAGGCCACAGCATGCTCTGGCCTGGCCCCGGGACAGGAGATGATGAGGCCATGACCTAGCCTCTGCTGATGGAATTGAATGGGCACCTGAGACAGCCAGGGCCGGCTGCCCAGCTTGGACACATAGTTGTAGATTGTTAGCACACCCTTCTGGACCTGAGTCTTCTTCTCACAGGACACTAGGCAGCTCTGGATCAGCAGCTCAGGTGTGTGGTACCTGGTCTTGACGCGCAGTTTCCTTGGCACAGCCCGAGAGCCACAGGACACAACATCGGGCAGTGTCTTCAGGTATCGAGGGGAGAGACCAGGGTTCTGCAGGTAGCAGAGTCCAAGGCGCCACTGTTCCCCATGCACTCCACAGCGGTCACAGGGGGTCCACTCCCAGAAGGTAGTAAAGACATGGAGGCTTCCGTAGTATTCATCTGGCAATGGCTCCTGGCCCTTGTCCTTGAAGGTGGCTACCATTCCCTCATGACTTTGGATGTCCACATCATAGGCATAAAAATAGTCCCCCTTACGGGTGCCACAAAAATATAGGCCTGAGTCCTCTGACTGAGCCCGGAAAACCAACAGGCTGAACATGCGGATGCTGAAGCGGACCAGCATGCTGCTGCCTACTCGAACATGAGCTGCCTCTGTGAGCAACCGCCCATCGAAGTCAGTAAGCACGACGGTGTGGCTGCTCCCCAGGTGCTTCTGGTAATACCAGACCACAGTTGAAACATCCTCAGGTTTGCAGTGGCAGGGAAGCTCAAAGCTCATGTCAGCCAGATAGGCAGCGTTATCAAACATCAGGAAAGCCGGGCAGGGCGTCCTCTGAAAGATGTTCTCCTTCTCCACGATTTCAAAGGCCTGGAGACTGCCCCAGGCACACAGGAGCACAGTGGTGTGGGCCAGACTCATGCTTGTAGGAAGGAGGGTCTTGAGGGGCCAGGGCAAAGCCCAGGACACCAAAGATCTGTGGCTTTTTAGAAAGCACTGCTGAGAGGAGGCTGCTACATAAAGAAAGGTTCAAACAACCAGTACAGGAAGCCAGAAAGTGCAGGGGAGAGAGCCGATGCAAGACAATTTATTCCCAGCTGATGTACAAGGTGCTGTTCTAATGCACAGGACTGATCTGGTCAGGAGGGAAGGGGGGTCATTCTAGAACTTAGAAGTCTCTCACCTTTCTAGAACACTGGCACTCACCTAAGAATGGGTTAAGGGAAACTAGAATGAGCTCTAAGCACCCTCGGCCCCGCCTGCCCTGGAGAACATCCCTTCAGCAATCTGAGAGATATGACAGGAACCCTCTCTTGCACAGCTGGTCATCTGGGATGCTGGCCAGACCTGAGCCAGTGGACTGGGAATTTCCCAGGCTCAACCTGAGAAAGAACTAGGTCTCTGGGGGAAAATTCTGCATCTCAAACGAAGGAGCCTTTGCTTATTATTGATTGGCTGTTCATTCACTGGCTTTGGGTTATAAATATTCTGGTTAAGAGTTATGATCAGTGCTTATCTTTTATCAGAGGTCAGTGAGTTTTTTTTTTTTTTTTCTCCTCTAGGAGGGAGTTTGGTGTGGCCAGAATTTAGTTGCAAACACACCCACTTCTCAAGGCAAGGGACGTGGCCAACTCGTAAGGGTAGGGAGCAAAACACTCTCAACTAGTAGGGCCCAACATAGATAAAATTATGGGTTGGAGAGGTGGGCAAGCCCACTACTTGAAAAGGGAAGTGGGTGTGGCTTTCTCACGATAGTTCTTTCAATACTTCTGCAGAAAACCCAAGATAACCACCACAAAATGCGTTCCAAAGGAGCTGGTGGGATGGCTCAGTGGTTAAGAGAACCAGTTGCTCTTCCAGGGGACTGGGGTTGGTTTGATTCCGGCACTCAAATGGCAGCTTACAACCATCTGTAACTACACTTCTAGAGGCTCCAACACCCTCTCTGGCCTCCTCAGGCACTGGGCACACACATGGTGAACATACATACACGTAGGCAAAACACTCATACACATAAAATAAAACAAGTCTTTTTCTTAAAAAAAAATAAAATAAAATGCTTTCTGAGACCACTGGGACTGCTGAGGGCTGCCAGTTCCATTAGTGGACCCCATACAGCCCTCGCAGCTCCTGTAGGAGTCCCTCCTCTCCCTGTAGCCCAGCAGATGGCTCCTCCAAGTTGAACCCCTCCTGCATGGGTCCGGCGGTGCCCATGGCCTGCAACTTCTGAAACAAGTGCTGGCAGCTCTCGCGTTCTGCCCGGCTCAGCAGGCTCAGGTTCAGGGTAAACCGTCCCGTGTTAGCCAAGCTGTGCAGAATCTCTAGCACCGCCGCCCGGTCACTTAGCCTCACATGCTCAGCCAGTGCCACCAGCAGCTCCCCGAGAAGTCCAAAGCCCACATCCCTCTTAAAGAGGTGGCCCAGCTTGGGACCCCCAAGCTGAAGCAGGGCTTGGTAGCGCTCTGGTCCACCTCTTAGGTGCCGACGCCAATCACGGTAAAACTCTGCAGAGGTTGCAGGCTGGAAGGGTGATGTCTCCTGCATTACAAAGGGAAACACGGCCAGAGCTCAGCTTGCCGCTCTGCAGCTGTGATGGGGAGGGGGGTTATGAGTTTTCATCTTGGTGCTGCAACTGTTCCCTGAGCTCTGGGAAGACTGGCCTCTGCGGCCTCATTTTCAGATGAGGGAGCTGAGGAGGGAGGAGAAAAGGAGCTGGGGAGGGAGGAGGGAGGAGGGCCCAAGGGATCCAGGCTATGATTTGAAGGTCTCCTTTGTACTGGGGTTTTCCTCCTGAGAAAGGAAACATAGCTCTTGGCCTTTTAGAGTAACTCAGAGTTTGCTGGAGAAAAGGCGGCAGGGCGGGAGGTGGGGGCGGGGAGGGGGAGTTTACTGTCAATCTCTGACAGAGAAGAAAGAATTCAAAGTAAGTGTCAAGGGTCTGTCAGGCTGGGTCCCTCTCTGATACTGCCGCAGGGTTGTTATACTATTTCCCATCGGTCTCAGAAGGAATACTGGACTGCTGAGCCCAGCTCATCTCAGTCCCACCATCTGATTGCTATTCTAGGATTAGAGGGGGGAAAGCCTGTTTCTGTTGGCTTCCGGGAGATGTAAGGAAGTGGTGTGTGATGTAAAAAGACAGGGCCATAGCTTTAGCATGGAGAAATCCTGCTGGGCTAAAGAGGCTGGCCCGCACCTACCTGGGGTATTTCAGTGGCCACATCCTCAAAAGTCCTTTCCCTAGTAGTGTGACAGTTCCAGGGCACAATTCCTTTTCCCCTTATCTTGTCCTTCTGGTCCAGAGGTTTCAGGTGTGATGCAAGGACAATACCTCTAGGTCAAAGATAGAGATTGACACTTCGTTTCCCTGAGTGTGGGGCAGCTACTTGGCTGGATCACAACAGCAACGGTGGCACAGTTAGCTAACAGCACTCAAGCACTTCAAACGGGCGACATGCTGTGCTTACACACGATAATTCAAACAACTGTAGCAGCCATTTCTCTGTTACAGACGCAACCAAGTCTCAGTTGGTTAAGGAACTTGGGCAAGACCGCCCAGTAGTAGAGGGTGGGGGCAGGATGGGAGCTCAGAATGATCTGAATCTAGACTGCTTGCTTTTAACTTCCATAGCCCACCATGCCTGAGGGGCCTCATAATAGAGCTGCACACCAACCTGAACTCTTCGTAAGAAGGCACTCTTTGTTCAACCGCCCGTAACTTGGCAGCATTCTCCCTTTGGTACTTCTCATCAGCGGCAAGTGCAGCCTGCAGCTCTCTCTCCAAAGCCTTGAAGTTGATCGTATCATTCTTTTCCATGGCTCAGGCCTGGAAAGGCAAGAAGAATGCATATCAGCAGAGGTTCAGCATCAGGGTAGAGGTGATGCCTTGAGATTCTTTGCCAGAATGTGAAACAACCCAAAGCAATCCAGTATGTATCCTGGAGTGCTACAAAAATCTAGTTCCGTCCTTTACAGATGGAATGGAATTGCATGATGAAGACGCATTCAAGGCTTCTCACAGAAAACAGAACAGAAAGCTTCCGGTTTGAAGTCTCAATTTCGTTCTCTGCTTCTAACACTATGTTAGATGCCAAGGGTGCAGCGGTAGATGTTTGCCTGGCGAACACAAGACCTTGGGTTTGATGTCCAGCACCACCACAAAACAACTTGGATGTTTCAGCTGAGAAAGCATTTAGATTTTTGAACCTTTATTCTTTCACATAGGATTTCTCTATGGCAGGTTGTTGCCACAATGGACAATGGAGCACACCACACACACACACACACACACACACACATGCATGTGTGGGCGTGCGAGAGAGAAACCAGGATTCTTGAGCCCAAGGACAAAATTTCACACTTCACTAAATATTTTTAATGGTGGAAAGAGATATTTTCACCTAAACGAAAATCAATGACTACGCCGGGAGTCGAGGGAAAGCGGCAGAAGGGAAAAAAGCTAAGTGGCTTCCATCCCCAGGGGAAAAAAAAAAGCTCAATGATCTACATCCCCAAGTCCCTGATCAACGGAGGGCTGCAGGCACAGGTGAGTGGGGCATTAACTCCAGTCCCACCACTGCAGTTCTGCAGCCTTCCGGTGTGAGTCTAACTGGCTGATTTCACCGGAATCTACGTGTTCCAGTCTGAGCTCCGACATTCACTTGTGAGACCTCTCTCCTCCTCAGAATTCTGGTGAACCGGAGCTAGGTAGCGTAGTTCACTCATGATTACCCCTAGGGCAGGACATGAGCTGGTCCGCAAGCAACTCCATCACCACCCTCGCCGACCCCAACGAGGGGAAGAGGAATGCTAAGTGGGCTGTATTAGCAAGCCAACAATGGACTCAAGTGTCTCAGATCCCGTTCGGTCATTTTTTGGGGGGGGGAGGGGGTGTCTCGCTATGTAGTCCAGGTTGTTCTCTTCAAAACATCTGAGTTCATGATCTTTCTTCCTCGGGAGCAGCTTAGACTCCCACCACCCGCCCACCTCCCTGACGAGGTCTAAGCCGTCCCTAATCATAGAATAACTAGGTCAGTCCCCTTTACTTTCCCTAGACTCTCACCCAGCAGCCCCAATCTTGGACCCCTTGCTTTGGGTGAAAATTCTCGATCTGTTAGAACACCTGTGTGTCGCCCGCCCAACAGCGGTTGTCGCCTAGCAACGGCTCCACTAGTCTGCCCACGTGGCCTGCCCGAAGGTCCTCCCCTTCAGGGTGTCCCAAGGCGCCTGGTCAGATTCGTGAATCCTCCGGCCTTGTTTTTCTTGAGAGCGACTCACGCTTTGTTTTTGAGGACCAACAAGTTGATCTTCCCCGTTTCTGTATTTGAGGCCAGCATTCCTCGAAGCTGTTTTTCAGGCAAAGGGCTGTCCTCCGAGGCGGAGCGGGCCGGCGACGCGCTCGGGGTCCTTCTTGGTGCCTGGCGCCGGCGTTGTCGCGGCGTGCAGCGGAAGCGCGGGCTCAGGCGGCGGGTCAGGAGCGCTTTGCTGAGCAGGAGGCGGGTGAGCTGACTCGGGAGGGTTGGAACACGAGAGAACATGAGCTTGGGAGAAGGCGATTTATATAGTATTTATCCCTTTTGTCACACAGGGATAAAGTGAAGCCTGGAGTAGGAAAGGGAAAGAACCCCCCCCCCCCCCAACACACGTACACACACACACAGACGGTTCCGGGGTTTCCGCGATACCCTGCATGGTTTAAATCTTGTTCCTGGGTAGAGAGAGGTGGCGCTCTAACGACGCAGACCCCTGCCACTCCCACTTCCATTGGTGCTTCCTTCACCGCTGAGCTTCAAAATTCGGCATCCGAGCTGGCTGTGATGGCTAATGCTTATTTCTCCCGCTCTGGCAATCGAGACAGGAAGATTGTCGCAGGTTCAAGGCCAGCCTAGGCTAAGCATTGAGTCTGGCTCAAAAAATTAAAGCAGAAAAGATTGAGCATTCCTTTGAGAATCCGCGTTGTAGCGATAAGATGCAGGTTTAGTATTTAGAGACTAGCTCTGCTTAATTAAGCATATTATTAATTCACCTCCCCCCCAAAAGAAACCCGACAAAACTTGTTGAGGGCCTATTGAGGGTCGTTTTGTGCTATACATTGTTTTTGTTAGTTTGTTTTTCCTCCGATTTAGTATTAACATTTATCAGTGACAAATAGACAAATATACACTCCTGTTCCCCAAGTTCTATTCAAGGAAAGACTTTGTTTACTTGGCTGGGGATATAACTCAGTGGTGGAGTGTTTAGTGTGAGGCCCAGGATTTGATCCTAAGCACCAAATTAGTATGCCCAGCTAATCATCCTTTGTGTGTGAGTGTGTGTGTGTGTGTGTGTGTGTGTGTGTGTGTGTGTAGTGAGTGAGGGTGCAATTGTGCTATATAGCCTTCAGGCAAAGGTCAGAGGCCAGCCTTCAGAATTTGGTCCTCATCTTTTGACCTATCTTGAGATAGCGTCTCCCAGTTACTGCTAATAGCGGCTAGCTGGCTTTTGAGCTGTAGAAGAATCTCTCTGCTTTCCATTTCCTGTAGGCCTTCTAGGATGACAGACACTTGTGCGACTGCATCTGGCTTTTTTGTGGGTTTTCAGGATTGAACTCAGGTTGCACAGCAAGGGGTTTCCCCACGGAGCCACCTCCTTGGTGCATTGAAAGTTTTTATGCCATGATCGTTCGCTCCATTTTCCTACTTGAGGAAATACATAGAGAGGTAAAGTAACTTCTCTGAGTCGCATCACTGTTAGAGATGAGGTTAAGGTACAAATGGAGCCCTCACCCCTGAGGCCCGATGCTTTCCCCACACTCTAGATTTTGTTGCTTGCAAACTGTAGAGTTGTCGGAGAGAATAATATAATAATAAATAGTTAACTAGCATTCGGGGTAGAAAATACTGATGAGAGTCAGTTATGGTGTCATAGAGAAATGAGACATCGGTGGTCTAGGAAAGCTTGAACTATTCCTTTGAACAGAATTTCAGTAATTGAAGTGAGAAAAAAATCCACAGTTCTTATTCATTACAAAGGAAAATGAGTGATTTTATAATGAAAAGCCTGTCAACTGCCACCTCAATTGAGGGATCAGAATTAGCATCAATAAGGACAGGTTGGAATTGTGTACCAAAAAGAGCATAGCATCCCTATGTGACATCCTAGCTCCAGATGTGTAACCTGAGTGTAATAGTAGGCAAATGCACATGAAGGATCATTCTACAAAGCCAGTGGTTTGTAATCTCTGGAAAGGTCAAGTCATAAAAATCAAGACTAAAAAACTGTTGTAGATTAAAAGAATAAAGCTACCTTTTTGCAAGCATACGATCTTGGTTTGCATCCCTGATTGTGCAGTTCAGTTTTGAAACAGTTCGTCAAACTTGGTGGGGTCTTAGGAAGTAGACTAACCTGCCAGTATTAATTTTTTTATTTTAATGATTGTATTTTGACATTTTGAGAATATTATTGTTAAAAAAAGAAGTGAGATGCTGGAGAAATGGCTCAGTAGTTAAGTGCACTTGCTAGGCAGTCATGAAGACCAGAGGTCAGATCCTAGTACCCATGTTACAATCCTTGTATTACCCAAAGGTTCTGAAGCTGTCTTTGATACATGTGCATTCAAATACACGTAGACACACACACACACAGAGACAGGTACACACATATAAATAAATTTAGGCAAGGGGAGGGTGGACGGTGTGTGAGTTGTATACCTGTTATGTCAACTTGGGAGGCAGAGGCAGAAGGCCAGCTTGGGTAACAATGAGAGCCTGTCTTTAAAATGAAAAAGAAAGCCAGGTGGGAATGAAGAGCTGGCTCAATGATTAAGAGTACTAGCTGCCCTTTCAAAGGACCTAGGTTCAATTCTCACTATCACACATTAGCTTACACCTGGTCTATAATTTCAATTTCAGGGAATCTCACTTCCTTTTTTGGTTTCTGTGGGCATCATGTCTATGAACATGGTCTACAGACATACATGTGGGCAAAACATCTATACACAGAAAATAAAATACATAAAAAATATTAAATAAGTAAAATAAAGCCAGGAATGGGGCATATGTTTGTTATCTCAACACTTAGGAGGCTAAGGCAGGAGGTTCAGGAGTTCAAGACCAGTGTGGGCTTTATAGAGTTTGATGCCAGCTTGGGCAACAAGAGGCCCTGTCCTTTAATAAAATAGAGTGTGAGATGTGTGCAAATAGATAAAATGAGTAGGGTGGAGAAGTGGAGAAAGTACTAGACTCCGGGAGATTCTTTAGTAGATTGGTCAGTCATGAGTTAACTCCTGAAGGATGGGTGTAAGGAGACAGGCTGTGATGCAGGCTTTCAGGACTTGCCAGATACTGACTGTTCTCTTCTTGAATTTTAGCATCATGGATACTGACTTGTATGATGAATTTGGGAATTATATTGGACCAGAGCTTGATTCTGATGAAGATGATGATGAACTGGGAAGAGAGACAAAAGATCTTGATGAGGTAAAACAAAACAAACATTGTTTTTTTGTTTGTTTGTTTTTCTTTTTTTGGTTTTTCGAGGCAAGGTTTCTCTGTGTCATAGCCCTAGTTGTCCTGGAACTAGCTCTTTAGACCAGGCTGGCCTCAAACTCATAGAGATCTACCTGCTCTGCCTCCCGAGTGCTGGGATTAAAGGCGTGCGCCACCACTGCCTGGCTGAACATTGTTTTGTTTATCCCTCTCTGTTTTAAAACAATGCTCCCGTAATAGCCTGCATGTATTTCTAATACTGCCTTTTTTATAACATGACTTTTGTTGGGATTTTGTGTTGTCCCCTGACAGCTTAGGCAGGACTATAAGAGTTTCATTCATGAGATGGTCTTGGAGTTCAGATTCTGGGAACAGTTCTGTGGACTCTTCTGGTTCCTTGCAGTGTCTCCTGACAGGCATGAGTGAGCTCGTTCAGGACGGGCAGTCAGCTACGTCAGCGCATCTACACCTGGAACAGCCTTGTAAACTCAGATTTTAAAAGTGGCACACAAAGCCGGGCAGTGGTGGCACATAGATTAAATCCCAGCACTCAGGAGGCAGAGACAGATGGATCTCTGTGAGTTCAAGGCCAGTCTGGTCTGGTCTACATAGCAAGTTCTAGGACAGTCAGAGCTACACAGAGAAACCCTGGTTCAGGGGGTGGCATACAAAAGGAGGGTGCAGATTTCTATTACTCCAGGTTCAGAGTGGGAGATAGAGTTTAGAATAGTTTAAGGCTCGCAAAAGGCACTTTATATAAAAAAGCCAGGAATGTTATATAATCCCAATACTTAGAAATGGGGGCAGGAAATAAAGAGTTCAAAGTCAACCTTAGTTTTATAATGAGTTTGAGGCAAACCTGGGCTACATGAGATCCCGTCTCCCAAATATAGCTCTAAAGAATTAGTAAGAAGATTGTTTTTTTAAGGAGGGGTACAATTTATATTTTTTGTCATCACAAATACCTGACGAGAACCAACTAAAGGAAGAAGGATATATGGCTCATGATTTGAAGGACTTCGGTGGCTCATGGTGGAGAACACATGACAGCAGTTGGTTCTGTGACAGCTACGTATTCACATCTCAGGACGCTAGGAAGCAGAGGGAGGACAGAAACCAGAACCAAACTGTAAGGTTCAAGGCTCCGTCTTCCTAATGTTTCACAGCAGCCTGAAACAGTACCACCAACTGAGGGCCAGGTGTTCAACAAGCAAGTGCTGGACATTTTCATCCAAATGGCACTGAAAGTGGCTCTAATGTTTTAGCATTGTTCAGAACATGAGTAAAACGTAGATTTAAAGAAGTAGGATCTTTAGGGGATGAATGATTTCAGTGGAAATGAGACTGGAATGGGGTGAGAACAGCTAGCGTCATTGTATAAACATACAGGACTGTCAAACAATGAAAAACAGATTCATCCCATTTCTTGGCAATGGATTGGTCAACTAGCAAGATGATATTCTTGGGACAGCAGAAAATGGAAACAGTTCTGGCTGCTATCAGTCGCTGTGAAGGGCAATGCTGCTCAAGCTAGAAAAAATACGCACTAGGAAAAAGAAAGTTGAAGCTAGCCAGGCGATGGTGGTGCACACCTTAATTCCAACACTCAGGGACGCAGCGGCAGGCAGATCTCTCTGAGTTTGAGGCCAGTCTGGTCTACAGAATGAGTTCCAGGACAATCAGAGATACACAGAGAAATCCTGTCTCAAAAA